GAGATGCGAAAGAAACGAAGGACCATAAATCATACCCGCATTCCTCTTTGAAGCCTGAACTTTTCTCCCTTTTTTCTCCCTGGCAAAAATCTGTCTCGGGGTCCTATTGTCTTCACCTCCATCATTTTCTCGGACTTGGCGGCTTTTTATTTTCACACACACACTCTCTCTCTCTCTCTCTCTCTCTCTCTCTCTCTCTCTCTCTCTCTCTCTCTCTCTCACACAAAGGTCGCTGCTGGCGTTGCCTCTGCTCTGAGCGTGGGGGTCTCGGCGGGCGACATTTCTGCATGTTTCCAGATCCCGGCTAGGGGCGACCGTCTTCGCCCGCTGATTGTCAGGCTGTCCTCCAACGGCATCCGCAACAAATGGATTGACGGGAAGAGGGCGAGAGGCGTTCTGGAGGGATCTGAGGTTTCATCCTCGCTTGCTGGCTCAAGGATTGATGTCAACGAGAGGCTGACTGCATCTGCGCGTGAAATTTATGGCGCGGCGCGGCGTGCGGTGGATGGAGGCCGTCTTCATCGCGCGCGGGTCAGGAATGGTATCGTTCACGTGAGGCGATCTCAAACTACTCCGCCCACTATGGTGCGACATTTCGCTCACCTGAGCGATATGTTGACGGGTGCCCCGCGGCCTCCTGTCTTGTCGGGTCGGGAATCGTCTTCTGCTCTGCTGCGGTCCCCGGATGGAATGGCGCCGCCCTGCATCTCTATCAATGGGGGTCCTATCTCCTCCACTCCTCCCTCTCCTCTCCTCTCGACCTCGTCATCTATATTACCTGATCAGCCCATGACGGGTGGCGCTTCTCTCACTGGTGCTATCCCTAAACGACATCCACAACGCAAAGCATGACCGCGAAGGGGTGCGAATTTTCCATCCGACGCACCGTTCAGGCTATGTCACGTGAATTGCCAGTCTCTCCTCCCCTACTTCTCAGAGTTTAGTGAATATTTCTACAGCAATCAGTACGATATTATAGCGATGTCGGAAACGTGGCTGAAGCCTCGGGTTCCTGACAGTCTCGTCTCGCTTCGCGGATACTACCTCGTGAGGTCTGACAGGTAGGGGAGAGGTGGAGGGGGGTTGGCTTCTATGTGCGTGATGGCATACATACGGAGCACATGGCTTCCTCGCCTAACATGTACTGCGCTCAGCCGGAATATGTAATGCTGAGCGTGACGGCCGGGGGATGTAAGCCGTTTCTGCTTGCCGTGGTCTATCGTCCGCCTAAGGTGGGTCATCTCTCCTTCTTTTGGGCTGATTTTGAGAGACTCCATCCCTCTTTCTCCTCAGCTATCATCATTGGTGATTTTAACATCGATCTTAATCGTCGTTCTTTTGACTCTGACTCTCTCCTCGACTACTCTTCTAGTTATCACCTCTTCATTATCCCTTTTTCCGACACCCATCACACTTCTTCCTCCAGTACTCGCATAGACCATTGTCTCATTAGCAATAGATCACTTATAAAATCCTTTGGCCAACATAGTCTCTCATTTCTTTCTATGCACGATCTTATTGAGGTGACCCTGGATTTTCCGATCCTTCGTCTTCCTCCTCGCGAAATCAGTGTTCGTAGTTACTCCTCGTTTAACACTGAGGAGTTCGGTCCTTCGACTGGGCAGCTGTGTGTCGCTCCCCCTTCCTCGACGATAGGGTGGATATCGTGAATCGTCTTCTTTCTACTGCTCGTGACACTCACGTTCCGCTACGTTCCTTCAGAGCCAGAAGGCCTTCGGCTCCATGGCTTGATCAGTCCATCAGGGCTCTCATGCGGGAGAGGGATATTGCGCGGAGACATTTTCGCTTGCATCCCTCTCCTGCTAGCTGGTGCACCTTCCGCTTATTGCGCAATCAGGTCAGTCTCCAGATGGATGCTTCCAGAAATGCTTATCTAATGGGTCGTCTCAATTCCTCCTTGACTCCTTCGGAACTCTGGTCCGAGCTCAGGTC